ACGCCTCATCAATTTATTTATTACTCAAAGCAAATCGTTTAATCTTTCCTTATATGGAAGTGAAAGATCTTAAAATAACTTCTCTTTTGAAGTATAAATCTAATTATTATTCATTGGCATGTTTTTAGCCTTGAAGTCCCAAAATAGAATTTCTACCCTTATCTTTTACTAAAGATATTATATGAAAACGAATGAAGTTTTAATGCTTTTATTAATACAAAAGTATTTAATTATTGTATTACATATATATATATATATATATATATATATACCTTTAGATATACCTTTTAGATTAACAATGAAAAAATATCTTTATTCAATTAAAGAGAAGAAAATTATAATCATTCCACAAAGACAAATTATCAAATCTTTACAAAGACAATAATAAATTTGAAGGCAATGATAGTACGGTAAAACAAGATTTATTCGAATAGCAATAAAATGGCAATATTAATTTGCTTATGAAATTTTATGAAGTTGTATATGAAATTTTAATAATGGCAACATTTAGCAAAGAATACTTTATTTAAATTATAGAAAAATATTTCATGAAATGCACAGCAAGTAAAATTTAAGCTCTCAAGTAACATTCACATACAAAAAATAATTTTTCAAATAGTATTTGAAAATTCTAAAATCTAGAATATCTATAGTTTTTTATTAGTAGAAACTTTAAAATCTATGTCTATATACAAGATTTAATTTTAAACAGATTTGACAATGTTTTTAATTTAAATTTATTTCGGGCATAAAATCTCATTATCTGATTGCAGGGTTGCCACAGTAAAAAATGAACAAAAATAGTTGCATTTAGTAGCCTCAAGCATGAAAATAGTTGCTTGAACAGGAACAAAAATTTATCAAAAATAGTAGCCAAATAACTAAAATTACAGCTTAATTGTCAAATACTATGATTAGGACTGGGTGATGTCAGAAATTTTAAATTGTGATACATCGTCCATTAGACATCACAATATAGCGATACCCTGTGGCAGAATTTTTTTGAGCTATCTGCGACAAAGCTCTCTAGCACTAATATCTTTCTGCATGATACTTTTATAATAACAATCATATATGTTACTAACTTAAAATAACAAAAGTGCTGTGTTTACAAAAAAAAAAGAAGAAAAAAAAACTATAATTTTCTATAATTGAACATGTAATAATTTTTTATTCTAGTATTATAGGTGATATTCTCTCATTTCGTTGGGAGGGGCACACAACTTATTTCCTTCTTTGCATTTTGTAATTAATCATCACAATAAAAAAAATAATTAAAATTCATGAAATCCGTAGTAGTAATTACCGAAAAAATGATCGACGACGAAATCACGCACGAATCGGATTCCTCAAATGTGTGTTTCGTTTCGAGATTAGGTTGTTGTAATGAATAATATCATATAAAAAAATATCAGCATAAAAAAAGTAAATACTTAAATTCACGATTCGAATTTTCCATATCGTTAAAAATTTATCAGGATATTTAAAATCCCTGTGAAAATAAATATCAATAACTGCCGAAATATTACATCGATTCACGATACTATCGGCAGAAATTGAGCATGTCGAAAAGTGGTTAAGTGAATACATGATTCAAGTATTACACGTACTTTTCTGTAGAAAAGAAAAGTAATTTTTTTTTTACTTTTCAAATGAAAAATCTTTGTGCAAGAACTCTGTAACGTTCTGCGACAATGACGCCGTGTCGCTGCGATTCTGCCACAGGGTAGCGATGTATCGTGATTTAGCATATGTTCAGAAATTACCTATGGCAAATCTTTAAATCAATCAAAAATAAATAAAAAGGAATAAATCTATTACAAAAGAAAATATTAATTCTAAACATATTCTACTATAACATCAATATCATTGCTTAATTTTTTCAATTAAAATAATAAAGAAGTCAAAGTGAAAGCAAACCCAAGTTTTTTTCATTTTTCGTAAATTAAAAATGATTTAAGATTTATTGGCTTAAAAATAATAATACTGTAACAAAATATTTTACATACATGCATTAAAATTAAAAGAAAAAAAAACGAAAGTAGAAAAGAAACCAAAGAAATGTTCACTTCAGAAAAAAAAAAAAAAATTTTTAAATTATTTGTTGAAAAAAAAAACATACTTTTGAAACATCATTAGACCCTCTTTTTTTTATTTAAAATAAAAAGTAGTATTAACTAATGGTCAAATTCTGTACTTAATAAATGTAAAAATATTTTTACTTATTTATTGTATTTTCTTTTGACTATCTAACAAATTATAAAACAAGTATTGAAAGAATTTTAATAAAAATTCAAAATTCAAAAAAAAAAAAAAAAAAAAAANAAAAAAAAAAAAAAAAAAAAAAAAAAAAAAAAAAAAAAAAAAAAAAAAAAGTACTAATGTTAAATTATTAAAAAGTGTCAAAACATCATTAAACTCTATTTAATTTTTTTTTTAAATTTTCTTTCAACTAATAGCCAAATATTTTTAAAGTTTTGTTTTAAGTTTCTCAAAAATAAAAACAAATTAAATAAAGGTAAGCTTTGTTTTAATTTTTTTATAATTAAAAACTGAACATTTATTGGTTTAAAAATAATAAAATTATTATACTTACCTACATTAAATAAATTTGAAAAAAAAAAACTAACTTTTTATAACTAAGTTAAATACAAAATACCCCTCCTATTAAATTGAATCGCTTAAAATTAAAAACAATAATTGAAAAAAATCAATGAAGAATCTTTTTTTTAAAATTTATATTTTCTTTTCATTGATCAATCGAGTTCAGAACGGAAATTTAAGATAACAGCGAAAAAAGTCGCCATAGTCGCCTAAGGCCGAAAATAGTAGCAAATAGTCGCATTTTAGTAGTCTGTGGCAACCCTGGATGATCGATACCAAGCACCCTCGGTTCCTTTGCAGACNGAAAAGAAAGTAGAAAGAAAAATAAGAGAGAAAAGGAAAAGAAAAAATTTTACAGAAGGTAAATTTTGGACATAAAAAAAAAAAAAAATTTCAAATAGTATCTGAAAATTCTAAAATCTAGAATATCTATAGTTTTTTATTAGTAGAAACTTTAAAATCTATGTCTATATGCAAGATTTAATTTTAAACAGATTTGACATTGTTTTTAATTTTAATTTATTTCGGGCATAAAATCTCATTATCTAATTGATTAAAATTAAAATAATTTACATGTCTTAAATATACATAAAATATTGATTTAAAAAAATATGTTATAAAATACAATAAATAATAAAAGTTGTACTATTAATTTTACATTCCATAAAGTCGTTCATATTTTGAAATCTAAGCTAGAATAAGGCAAGCTTTTTAAAATTTACATTAAAAAATAGTACCTTTTCTGCAGCCATTGTGAAGTACTTAAAAGCTGTTTCATTATTTTGCTTCACTACAGTTCCACCTTCAAGATACATCTGTTATAAAAATATGAAAAATATTACTACTTTTGTACAAAGAAATTCATAAAATTTTATCAATTTCAATTAGTGATTAGTTAACTCATAAATAAGAATTTTTATTATTACCACTATATAATTTATAATTATCACTTCCACACAATTTAAAGGTTTTAGACCATCTTTTTTTCCCCCAAATTAACATAAATTGACCACTGGGAAGTTTGGAAATACTACATTTAACATTATTACTTTTAGCATATTTAAAAACAAAAGCTTTGAAAAACATGCAACTCGATAAATTATAAATCAAATTTTTGATAGTGCAGAATATATTTCTTCAGAAAAACTATTGAAGTTTTTTTTTTAAATAAATAAATAAAAAAAGTGTCAATTTAAAGTAAACAAATCATACTAACTTTTCCAAGAAATGCCATAGCATTGGCATTGCCTGCATCTGCAGCTTGAAGAAAATAGTTTAAGGCTCTCTGAAAAAATATCAAAATTTAAATAAATTAATATGCTCAAAAGGAGATATTATTAGTTCTAACATATTATTGAAGTGCACTTACACCATGATCCTGTTCCACTCCTCTTCCTCCTTGATAGTGTAACTGTCCAAGTCCAACCTAATTATAGACAAGCATATTATGTATAGGCATATAATATTTATTTCACAGGCTGGTCTATAATTATACTATATAATTATCGACAAGCACTGTGGAATAATTATAATATACAAATATTAAAGCATTTAGAGAGGTTATACAAATACGTACTTCAAAGAAAACTGTACTTTTAAACCATCAATTATAATTCTAAATGCTTGTCTAATTTCTCAATAACTCGATCATTATAGTCATATTCACTACTAACTGTACCACCAACATGAAAACTATCATTTAAATTAATTTTCACAAGCATTTAAAAAATTCAAAAATTGATGAATGATCCAAACATTTTTTTTAACAAATTAATCACTTGATATGATCCATAGTTTTCCCACTTGAAAATCAGATTGTTCTTTAGTAGTCATCAGTATAAAATTAATAAAAGTTATAAAGTTATTGCTTATCGGAAAAAATAAAGGTAACTAATAAAATTTATTGATCATTCTATATCATTATGCCTTTGATTCTTATTCCTAATTAAAAGCTTAAAACTGAAAGCAGTGTTTGTTTATAAGTAAAAGCTTTTTTTAAAAGTAATACTATGATGTTCCTATATTTACAAAACATTTTATGATAAACATATTTAAATCGGTATCTAAACTTCTTAATAGTTTTACAATAATTAAACAGTAAATAAGTCATATTTACTTCTCTTTGTGTAAAACCATCACCAGTCAACATATGCAATTAAAATAACGAATACAAAATTGTAAAGAATTATTAAGGATTAACATTTTGCAGTATTAATAACTAATCTTTTTAGCAATGGAATCAAAACTTTAAATAACAAAATAAATAAATTATAAATTATAAAATTATAAAATTTAAAAAACGAAATTGTGAATTGTCAAAATTGTGTCAATGGTAATAGAGCATTATGTTTATGCTCAAATTTTATCGAAACACTATAGACAGTTTTAAAAGATAATATCTCATAAGTAATAATCATTTAAGTACAGTAGAAGATCTATATGATGCAATTCTATAAACATCAATTCTCTATACACTCCATTAATTTTGCTGATGTAAATAATGAAAATCACATCAAAGAAATTTCTGAAACTAAGCAAGAATCTTTAACTCTCTGGCTACAAGAAAAAGATATTTGCTACAAGGTCATAATCTTTACAGCAAACCAAAAATTCAAAATATTTGTTGTTAATTCTAATGCTTTTGATAATTTCAGTCTTTCTCTTATTTTGAAGTAATTAGCATCTAAAGAATGTTCTAAGACATTTAAATAATGATCTGTCCTAAATATATACAGTTGAACCTGTTTATCTCGAACCTCTTTATCTCGAAAATCTCTATACCCCAAAATTTCTAAAATTCCCTACATTTACTGTCGAAAATCAATGTATTTTCCATGTTTATGTCGAACATCCGCTTCTCAAATTTTTAATGTTGTTGATGCATGCCTGTTTAGGCAGAGGGGGTGCGATTGTTCTTGTTTTCCAGTTGTGCCATCTATGGTCAAGAATTCGACTCCTGCCACATCATACGTCGCACCCACAGGCGGGGTTCGAACCCACGAGCTCTCGGACATCGGCCCAGCGCCCTACTGACCATGCTATCCCGGCTCCTCGAATTTCTAATAATAGAGCACAAATGCCAAAACTTTCTTTATCAGCATAACTTGAGACAGATGAATCTCGTGAACTCACAGGAAGTAGGGATGAACAGGTGGGGGTGTTTCTTGGAATTTCAATCACTATCCCTGCACTTTTTTAACTGGAAAAGAATACAATGATTCTGGCAGTAAGTGAGGGGTTGATGAGTAGGACGAAGTGACCACCAGGGGTTAGCTTTCCAACATAGATAAGAAAGCTAGGAATAGAAATTCATTTTTACCTCAAAATTGCAACCAATCAATCAAAGGATAATTAGGAGTTTTAAAATGAACTATAGAAAACAGTTGGCATGCAAACTTGTAGATGCCATCTATGAAAAAAGTTCTCTTCCAAAAATAAATGTGTTGGATGCTATCAGAATGACTGTTATGCTTGGAGAAATGAATTGGCAACATGCGGAACATTGACAGATGCGAAAATCATACATAATGTCAAAGGAATATCAGATGAAAAAGAAGATCATATTGATGAACTAAAACTGAATGCGAAAGAATTAGAAAAAGCTGTAAATCTCTTATAAACTATTTTTGAATCCCAGGAAAATGTTGGCTGCTAGGGATTTGCTGCTCTTTCTAACCTTAAAAGAATAATTGAAACAAAGAAGGTTAGACGTAAAAAGTCTTTGAAAAATTATTTTCAGTGTTTAATGCATATATAAAAAAATGCTTTGTAAATAGATGTATGTATAATGTAAATAGATGTATGTGGTATAATTAATTTACAGATATGCCTATATTTCTCAGCTAAAAATAAAGCACTTTTAATAGAATTTCTTAATTTAATTTAATTTTTTTAAAGTACCTGTACAACATGAAACCTCTTTATCTCAAATTTCGCCTTTCCCGTAAGATTCAAGATAAATAGGTTCGTCTGTACTGTGATGTTCAACAGATAAGTCAACATGGGTCTGTCCAGACATTTTGTCTGTCCAGACATTTTGTGAAAGGTCCTGTTTCTGCAAAATTGTGAAAAAACTATTCATAATTTGTGAATATAAAATAAGCATTAAGTCACATTCTTTCAAACAGCGTCCTGCTTTTGTGAATTTGTGCAAATAGGGTCCTGTTATGAATTTAAAAAAATGCTAAAAATCTTTTTAAGAAATTTTTATATTGAATATAGATACAAGATTCTGCTCAACAAATGCTGCTACTAAATTAGAGATGAAACATATAAATATTTGGTATTCAGCCTAAACTGCTCAACACAGAATATTCATTTCCGACAAATAATGGAAACAAAATCACTCACATTTTTAAAAATTTTAATTGACCTATTTTAAATAGCACAGTTAGTTATGTATCACTTTCAATGTGTTACACATTAAGTAAACTTAAACAATTCATAAATTTATAATATTTTATTTTAAAAAATTGACATAAAATTTTTTTTATTTACATAATATTCTACTAATTAATTTCATGAATAATAAATTGATCAATTATTTATTTACGAAAAAAAAAATTATGATTCAATATTAATAAGAATGTGCACACGATGTTTGTAAAAGTAAAAATATTTTCTTAGAATACTACAGTTGGAACTTAAACTTATTGAAACTTGGAAAACTTACTTCGTCGCGAATTGTCTTTCTCCCCCCCCCCCAGAAGGGTTTATTTGATTAACAAAACAACAATGAAGATAAACAAATTTGTGAAGAGTCCCATTAAAAGATAAATTATTTTGTGAAAGGTCCGTTAACGAACCCAAATTTCTTCTAAACAGATCCCTGGTTAAATGTTATGTGAAATGATTTATGTAATACAAAATTCTATAAAATGCAAAGCCTTATTTTTCAAGGTTTGCATAATAAAAATCTTCTACTGTTATTTTAAAATAATAAAAAAAATTGAAAAGGATGAATTAAAAAAAGTTATGAGATCGTCTTTCATACAAATATATACCTGAGCTTGCACATCCCCTTTATCAGCTAAAAATTGGTAATATTGAATTAAGTCATCATCTAAAAGCTGAGAAGAGGATCCAAGATTTTCAAACTCATCGTATAATCTTACTCTTTGAATTGCACTTCCTCCATTTGTAGACAACTCCTCCTCAACTAAATAGGCATACAATATTTTTTTATACAAACTTGAGAAAAAAAATGACACCAAATTAGCATCGATAATAAATTATATTCCAAATCAATCCATTTATATTTGTTACAACTCACTATAAAAAAACAAATAGATATATAACAGAAGTGAATCACACTTTCTTCTATTCTTATAATCTGATTTTCATACATATATTATTTTGAAAAATACAGATTTTCTATTACTATATACTGCAAAAATAATTTGCTATACAAATTCAAGCAATGAATCTTTCACAAGGAAAAAAATTAATTACAATAATATACAGTCTATTTTTTTTTTCCATTTATTTTCCTGTTAACAATTATTACAATCATTATAAGGGGAAACAATTTTTTGTTGAATTTATACAAACACTTAATCATGCCTAATTCAGGTGTGGAGATTTTAACTCTGAAATTAGTTTTGCTCCTAAAGATAAGTTTTTTTTAAATGACAATTTAAGTCTTTTTTTGTTGTTGTTGAAATGTACGAGCTTAAAAACGTCATTTTTACTGAGAGTTGTGTAAATGTTGCAATAAAGGAAGGAAGGTCTAAGGAAGTTAAAGCACATTATCAGGATTAAAATTGCATAAAAAGCTATACCCGGAAATGTCGCCGTACGAGGGGGGGCTATTCTACTATGACCTGTTCAAAACAACAAAAAGAAACAGTTTATAATACAGAAACACCCCTAGCGGTGTATGACAACATTTCCAGGCATGGGTTCCAATGCAGTTTATATCCTGATGATGTGCCATAACTCTCATGGAAGCTTGCCACAACATTTAAGCGGCACCCTATTATACATATATAACAACTTGTATATTTCAACAAAAAAACTGACTAAAAATGACATTTAAAAAACCAAAACTGTAGCTAAGAGAGAGAAACCGATTGCAGCTTTAAAATCAGTGATGTGAAAATAGCCAAGATCTGTTAAAAAAAATCTCAAGCAACAAAAACAAAATGTTCTACAACATAATTTGTTTTTATTATCTAGTTAACAGTAAACTTGAACATTTTTTTTAAAAATATTATTAACAAATCTTCAAAGAGGGAATAACACAGCATAAAAGCTACAAAAAATAAGCTAATGATGAAAATTTGGAATAATTTTGAAAAGATAAAGAAACAGAATTTAACTGTTTTTAATAAATCGATATTTTTTAGAACTTGCACAAATATGTTACCTTTTTTAGCAACTTTCTTGTAGTGATGCAACGAAGATTCACAATTAGTCTTCAAACCAAGGCCAGCCCAATGTCTATAACCCTAAAAATAAAGAACGTCAATCAGTGCAGTAATTGAAAATAGTTAAAGGTAAAATACAATGAAAAAAAGCATAAGAATGTTACCATTATCATTTGTGCCCATATGTCCCCTCCAAGAGCGGCAAATGTATAATAAATTATGGCCTATAAAAATAAAGAAATAAGGGCAGTTTTTTTTTTTAAATACATTTAAAACAAACATAAATGCTGGATTTCAAAACAAATCATAAAATATTGAACCACATAATTTCACTTCATATAAAGTTGAATCCATCAAGGTATTTTAAGTATTATAAAATATTTAAAATTTATTAGGAAAACTGAAAACAATAAATTTAAATTGCTATATATGACAAAAATAAATTTTTATAATAAAGTATGTTTAAATATAATGGTTAATAAATCCTTAAGATCAAATTTCAACAATTCTAATAATTCCTTTAATTATTTTTATTTCCTTTTTTGAAATTTAATGAAGGAAAAAATAGAGTTCAGTTAAGTTTGACAAAAAATTATTAGAAACCGTAGTCAATTTACAGTATCAAAGATTTACAGAATCATTAAAGCAAAAAATAAATTAATTAAATAAATATAAATCATTAATCACTAAATTCACCTAAGCTGCTTGAGTATAAACCCATGTAGAAACAAAAGTTTTCCTTGCTTTCCAAGCTTGATGAAAAACTCTTAAATAGTGCCTTTTTTATAATAAATAAATCTCTATTGAAAAAATATTAAATAACGAAATATTTTGACACCAAAATTATTTTAATGTTAGTCCACAATTCTTTTTAAAAGTCCTCTTTAGACAGAAAAATATTCTACTTTCTTTTAAAATTGCATGAACACAATTTCCTTATTTATGTAGTAACAAAATATTTTGGAATATTTTTTTTGTTTCATTTTATACATTTAAATCTGTTCATTTGGGCTTAGTTACTAAATTTTAAGCTTGTTAGTATGTTTAAAACTTATTCAGAGTCATTAAAATAGCTTTCATAATATTTCATTCGATTTTAATAAGTCTAATAAATATGTTTTTTAACAATTCTAATAACTTCTTAAAGCTTATTAACATACATTTCATTTTAATACAAAAAAATATACATATAATACAGCAAATACTTTTCACCAGACAATTTACAATTTAAAACTTCAAATAGATTAATGGTTGAAACAAGAAATATGAATTTCATTTACCTTTCCTAAATTAGGAGGAACTCCCAAACCAGTAGCATGCATCAAACCTAAATACTATAAATAAAATGAATGTTTATTCAAATTTTAAATAAAAAAATATAAAATTCTTAAAACAAATTTTCATTAGTTCTTGTAATTATAGAAAAGCATCAAACTTCTAAATATCCACAAATAGATAAACATTGATTTGATTATAAGAAGTACTCATTTATTTGTAAAATGCTGTGGCGAATGACACCACTTGCCACGTGAGCCTGTATCATGTTAATTTATCCATGGAAAAATTTGTTTCTTGTTTTATTTTTGTTAGATTCTGCACTACCATATTTGTCCACATGAGATCCTATATCATATTTTGCCTAAGTGAGATTCTGTACTTAGATATTTTGTTCATGTGATATTCTCTACTAAGAAATTCTGTCAACATGAAATTTTGACCTGCAATATTTTGTCAGATTAAAATTCTGGCTAGTAATACTTTAACAGGTCCAAAGATTTTTCTTCTTATTTTTTCTTCATATATTTGTTGATAAGTTTTTTCTTTTCAGTTGTTCCTGCTAAAAAAATGGTACACTCATCATAACTCAAGAAATGCTTTAAAACTATGAGGTTTATATACACACACAGGTGATATATTGTTGACTGTTAAGGAATTATTTACAAAATTAGGCAATGTGTCTTTGTTTCAACCCTCAATTTTGTAGATAATCAGAATTTTTGTATTTAAAGTTATACAAAACTCTTAAAATAACAATAAAAAATTTTGACTTTTAACGTGAAATTTCAACAAAAAAAATTTAACAATTTTTTAATAAAGAAATTTTTTTTTAAATAATTATTTCCTTATACTATAAAGCTAGTAAGCAAATCTTAACCCTTACCCGCCTCCGTAGAGGGCATTCAGGGAATACTAGTATCCCGATCTTGCAAACAAAACCCCGTATCAGCGCCGTGACAGAGCAACACACGGCTCTGAGTCACACATGAAGAATAGCCACACAATCGATGAACGAGCAGAGGAAACCGGCTCAGAACAAAAGCTTCGGATCCAAAGCTACTGGGCGGCAGCGCCAAACCAACTGCAGATGCTTGGAGNTCAGAAAATGACATAAAAGTAAGTACTGAGATTGACATACAATGGATAATTCATAGAAAAAACAATTAAATGTTAAACAAAGAACAATTTATATACAAAATTATCACCATTCAAAATCAAATATTACATTGTTTGCACTCTGCAGTAATCTATAACAAAAGACAAGTTTTGATGCAGTTTCTAAACCTAAATAATTTCTCAATTTGCCTATGCACGAACGAGAAATTTGAGAAGATTCTCTTAAGTCCAGCAGAACTAGCAGGCATTGCCATCAAGAAACAAGCAAGATTTGTAAAACTTTCATCTGCATATTTTTTAAAACTGGACCACCATGTAGCAGCTGGGGTAGTTGTTGAAACTTGACAGGAAAAATAAGTTTCAGGAAATGGGTCCGATTTGTTTTATATAAATATTTGATATACTGCACTCTTTATAATTAATATAAACAAAATAATATATATTTACAAACAATGAATTAAAAAGTTTGTTACAGTTATATGGAGTTACATTTTTCAGTTTACTTAAACAAGTTTCTGCCGGCAAAAAGCCAACCCTGATTAGAGCTCTATCCCCTGATGGCTCAGGGGATAGAGCGTTCGCCTTCCAATGAGGTGAACCGGGGTTTAATCCCGGCGATGGCTGGTCGATACGAATTCCACATCCGGCTTGCACCGACCACAATGCTGATGTGAAATATCCTCAGTGGTAAACGGATTGTGGGTTAGAGTCCCCTTGCCGTCAGGATAACCGTGCGAGGTTCTCGTAGTCTTCCTCCCATGTAACGCAAATGCGGGTTATTTCCTTCAAAAAAATTGCCCACAAAGGCAAATTTCTCCCAATACTTGATCCAGCAGTTCCCTTGTCTTCTGGATTGGGTTCAAAATTACAAGGCTACGGAGTTGAACATTAGTAGTCGTAAATCACAAAATTGTGTCGACTGCTCAACGACGGTTATAAAATAAAATATAAAGATATTAAGTCAACCATTTTCATTTAAGAAAATCGAAAAGTAATTTTTAAAACACTTCACTACTGTACCATAACAGCAAATGAGCAGCCCCAGTAATTGAAAACTACGTCTAAAATTGATGATTCATTCTTAAATTTTTTAAACAATCCCATTATAAATAACTATGAACTAATAATCCCCTTTATAAATAACTATGAATTAATAATCCCTTTATAAATACTACTATTTGCCCTTTCCAATCTAAACTGAGGTACGGTGTCATGGGAGTGCACCAATATATTTTTCATAACACTATTATGGATAAATCTCAGATCAGTGTTAATTAGTGAAGTTTCAAGGCAGACCTCAACTGTTTGATGTAGAATTTTTATTAAACATGTTTTCATTATTTTATGTTAATTTAGGTCAAAATAAGTGAGAAATATGATATTTAGCATTTTAATAATTTATATTTATGAAATGCAGCATGAAACACTGGTGTCTTTTTCTGCATTGATTGTAAAATTTTCCACACAAGGCTAATTTCCAAACAAATTTTTTTTTTTTAAATTGCACCTATTTAGATCTAAGAGAAACAGTTATTCATCATTAAAATTTCTTTAATTTACAAAATCAATTTGACTGACTGATTTGATTTGAATTTACAAAATCAATTTGACTGTTATTGAATAAGAATAAAAAAAATTATTTTTCAAAGTACTTTTTTTTTTTTGGATTTTCTATTTTAGTACAAATATAATTTCAATAATCTCACTGATTGTTTTAGTAACTATTAGACTGTTTTTTTTAATTAAAAAAAATACCAAAATATATTTTTGCTTGTAGAAAAAGATATATGAAAGGGACACCAGCGTCCCACCTGCATCAGAGGATTAACAACCAACCAGATGGAAAAAATTAATAAATAAACACTGAATTTAAAGTTAATTAAACTTTAAGACAGTGACAATATAATTATGAAATTAAGTAGTATGATAGTAAAGACTAAGACGTATACTAATATCACTACAGATTTCTTAAAAAATGTAATTCATAGTAATAAAAATAACTAATTAAAAATGATTTGATAAATTTGCAATGATATGATTTGATAATTATTTTCTAGCCATGAAGTGTTTCCTTATTTAATAATGTAGATATAAAAAAAAGTGATTTGTTGTAAGCAAAGTATTTTATTGAAAAACTAATTTGTAAGCTAACATGAAGTAGGATCAATTGATATGAATTAACAAGAAACCTTTTAATTTAAAGCATATTACCATTTGAGCAAAGGGTGAGCCTTCTGTTGCTAGTTTTTCAAACCAAAGTTTTGCAGCAGTCAAATTTTGTGGGAAAACATCCCCATAGAAATAAGCTTGGCCAACAATTTTCATAGCTTCATAATAATTTAGTTCAGCAGATTGCTTAAATAAATCATATGCTCTAAAAAAAGGAAAATACATTAATACCTTTTTCAGGATATAATATATAGCATGATAATCTCTGAAAATAATACTTAATGTCATAGAAAAATAAATATCTGAAAGTAAAGACAAGGAATTGTATTATCTATTTAACCTTCGAGGGCATAAAATGGCCTCAATATGAGGATTATAAAACAAATATGACGTTTAGGAAATTCAGTAGTATTCTTGGTTATTGCCCATACCTAATTAGAAGCAACCATAAGGCAAAAAACAAGTGCTTTACTCCTTAAAAAACTTTATGCCAGTTTGGGAGTAGCATTTGTAACAACAGTGGTCAGTATATAGTTAATATTTAAATGAATCACTTGTTTAAACAAAATAAATAATATATCACTATTTCTAAACTTCTTTGAAAAGTACATATTGTTAAAGAAAAAAATAGAAAATATATATGAACGAAAATGTAAAAAATAATATAATATATATAATGATCAAGAAGAAATTTTTTTAAAAATAAAATCTAAGATAAGGCTACAGAAAAATTCCTTTGACTTTCAAGGGCGACAATGAAGTCAACTTTTTTATCAATGGAAAATACTTTAAAAATACCCTATAGTACAATAAAAAAATAAGTTCAATTCGTCTACAATATTAACAGAAAATACAAGAAATTATGTATAACATTTATAAATTACAATAATATTTTAAAATTGAAAAACTTTTGAAATTTTTCACTTTTTGTCATCTTCAAAATGAAAAAAGTATGGATTTTTAACAACTGCTGTGAAATATTAGTTACACTATTTTTTTTTTACTGAGCAAAAAAATCATTTAAAACTCAAATTTTTTAAATAGATCTGTGAAATGCATTGACACCTTGTCGTACACACCTTTTGTAATTTTAATATTTTAGTTTCAGTATTAAGTTTATTAAAACCAGTTTGTTGTTAACTTTTTTTGTGCTAGTAATACATGTTTTTCTAATTAATTTTTTATCACAAAATGTGGACAATAAATGATTATTCAAGGGTCCTACGTGAATTGTGGGCAATAAGTTTTACAAACCCAAATTTTCAGCACAGTTTTTTAAATTATTTAATGACATTACTTGTTGAATTGTACTTCTACTAAAGTAACTCTAATATAATGAAATAAATAATTTAAGTAAATATTTTTTAATTATTCACCTTTTTTTGTCAGGAGTGGTAGCATTTAAAATCATAACAGCTGTTTCATAGAGCACTTTAGCTGAAATAAAAAAAAATATTATTATAGCTAGCTTCCAAAAACTCTATAGGTAATTTTTCTAACTATCTTTAAAAGTTATAAGTGGAATTAATCAAAGTTTAATTAATAAAAAATTTAATGCTTACATTTTAATTAATAAACAATTAAGGTAATTTATCTATTTATCTTTAAAATCAACCAATCAAAAGAAATTATCCGAAAAATGTAAATAAAAATAAAATTTAAGGAAGATTAAATTTTTAATTTAGGATTTTTGCAATAATTATATACTGTTTATTTGTTAGACAAGACTCCACATGCAAGTACTGAATAGATTTTTACATTAATATTCAGACATAAAGTTTTCAGATTTAGGAAAAAAAATTTAAAGCTAACATTTTATCATGCACAATAATAAAAATAAAATACTCCCCTTATATCACTTAATATAAACTGCCATGCTATTAAATAAGATAAGTATCTCTATCAGTAAAAGTCCCTTTTATCGATAGCAACATGATGCATTATTTGTTAAAATCGGATTTTATTAATCAAAGGTTTTTTAATTGGTTTTAATGAACTTTTATTTAAAAATAGATTTGTGGTCAGCATTGTATCAGTTACCCTATTTTTGAAGATTAGCACTAATTTATTTTCATAACCCATTGCAATGTGTAGAAGTTGTCATATTTGAAAATATTTTTCTTCAAAATTCAATGAAAATGCTTGATTACATAGATAGAAGTCAGTACATAAAAAGAAGACATGAATTTAAATCTTGTGTGCTGTTGTAGTTCATTTACGTCGCACTAGAGCTGCACAATGGGCAGAGGGGATGGCACCCCCGCTTCGGTAGTTTGACGACCTGCACGCGAAGTTGAGCACTTTACAGTAGAACAGCTTAACGAGGACCAAAACCGCACACCCTCGGTCCCTAAGCAGACTGATCCAAGTGGTCACCCACCCGCACACTGACCGCAGCCAGTGATGCTTGACTTCGGTGATCTGATGGGAACCGTATCTTAACGATCAGTCCACTGCAGGACTTAATCTTGTGTGAGTAAGTGTTCCTTTCTTTTCTTTAATGGCATGTTTTGTTTTTTTTTGTAAAAATAACTTGCAACTTAATACTTCAATCTTTACATAAGAATAATAAAAGAAAGTAAAATGGTACAAACATAGTTTTTAAATTTACAAATTTTACCTTGTTTCTCTTCTTCAGTTAATTCTCTAAAAAGCTTTTTCCTCCTCTTTCCAATATTTTTCTCAAAAGATCCAGTTTTATCAGTACTTCCTGAAGCTTGAGCAGGAGCAGGAGTATGTAAAATTTCTTTCGCATTCAAATCACTAAAAGTTGGGTTCTGATCCAACTCGTCACTTTGATCTTCAGCTGCAGTTTTTTCCATTTTATCAGACAACTGCTGCAAAACCTCATTATTTTGAGGACTATCTTTTTTCGGTTTACTTTTTGTACTTTTCTTATCCTGTTGCGCATGGTTTACCTCTGGTTCATTTCCAAATAATCTTTCATCTTGAAATGGAATGGTTATTTTAGATTCACTTTTAAAAAGCTTATCATATTCTTCAGCACTTAGTTCTAAATCCTTATAAACGTGAGTTTCCTCCGCAGTTCCGAAAAACTTTTCTGTTTCAGCTATTATTCTCTGCAAATCTTCTTCATCCAGAATCTCTTTGGCAGGGTTAGATTTCTTTTTTAAATTTTCAACAAGTTTTTTATTTAAAATACTTCTTATTTCTGCAACATACTCTGCTGGAGCCTGCTTGTCATCATGTTTTCCTGGATCTGGATCAGGTATTTTTTCAAAACTATAAACTTGACTAGGTAAGAGATCAGAAAAAATTGGATTTGTATTAGAATCAGTGTCTTGTTCATCAAATGAATCACTTTTTGATGAATCTACAGTACTTTCAGTTTGAAAGGATTCTGATTCTTTGTTATCATCATTATCTTTCTTCTTTTCATTAGAAGCTATAGTCCTTGTTAGCAGGATGATAAAGCATATATAAAATACAACACTAAAGTTCCGTTGATGCATAATGAAAGGTGTATTATCACAGTGTTACATAATCTAAAAAAGCAATTAAACATATTAATACAATTTATAATAACAATCAGTAAGAACTTGAATAAAAAGCTTGTTTCTCTATAACTATAGCGCGATATAGTCAAAACTGGCTCTTGCGCCAAAAACCCAAACAAACCCAACCCTATAACTATAAATTAAGTTAGCAGAGTATCTAGTTTTGACGTAAATATATGACTTTCATTTTTGTATTTTCTTTCAGTATAACTCATTTCCTAAACTCAAAAATTCATTTAAAAGCTATACATTAAATATTTTACGAAGATATATTTTAAAATATTGATGGAGAATTATATTAAAAGATAAAAGATGCTATTTCTTAGCATTTTATTTTATATAAGATGCAGGGATGAGATTAGCCAAAAAGCTGAATTTTCACACGAGTAAATCTTACGTGATTTATAGCAAAAATTTCAGTAGCATATTCTCATCCAGTTTCACTGATGTTATAATGCCTATATGTAGCAATAATCGCCGATATAAAAACTGCCACATTTATAGTAACTAATTCAAGAAAAAAACTTGCTTTTTACAAGAATCGTGATAAAGGATTTTTAAAATCAAGTGAATATAAATCACGATATTGAAATAAGCAAATGAAACTCGATATTGGATTTAAAAAATGTGAAAATACAAATCATGATGCGTAACTTTCAGATTGCGTAAATACGAATTACGATACGTAATTTCCAAATGGCGTTAATACGTATCCAAAGCCTAATTTTTAAATCAAGTGTAAATCGAAAAAAGAAGTTGGATATTACAACTGCAAAAATGAATCACGACATTGGATAAACTCGCATGAATACGAAATCGTTATATAGAATTTTAAAAACGCCTGCATACAAATCGCGATATCGGATTTTTAAATCTCGTAAAGAAGAATTGCAATGAACGATATTGAAAGTGTGAGAATAGGAATCGCAACGCTTAACTTTTAAATCAGGTAAATACGAAAATCGATGTTTGATATTAAAATGCAGCGAAGTCTGGATTACAAAAATACGAGCTATCAAGCAGATGGGTAAAAATGAGGAAAATCTTATTTTCTGCTCCTAAAAGCTAATAACTAAAATAAGTAGATAGATATGCAGAAGGGTTGGCAGCTACAAAGTTTGAATTTTCTATATACCTTTCGATAGATTATATCTATATATCAAATCGGAAATAAACATAATTATATTATTTCAACGGCTGAATTTTCAGAAAAAAAAAATTAGTTATTAATCAAAGTGAAACTTTTAGAGAATCTGAGTTTTTGATAAAAAGTCTTAAATTCGAGAGACAAAAGCGAAAAAGGCTGAAATCTGCTAAATAATGGATAAATCTCATCCCTGAAAATGGTTGAAGCAAAAATCCAACAGGTTTTTTTGTAGATAATTAAAAAGAGATAAGAATTTTTAAACTTTCAGAAAAGAATGAAAGTTTTATAATAAATATAAAAACCTAATTTATATTTTTTATTTTTACTACAAACATTGAACTTTACATTTTTTGGCAGTTATGAAAATAAGTTATGAAGGGAAAAAATGGTTTTAAAACAAAACTATAATCTGGTTCATTGTAATTCAATGAAAAAATTTTGAAAATCATATTTTAAAATAAGTATAAATAATTTTTAATTTTAGTTTAAAATACTTTTTTAATAATATAATTTTTTTAAAAAAATAAGAAAATCAACATTTAGTCTATATTCCATAAACCTTAAGACAATACAATTTTTCTTATATTAAAAAGAAAAAAATAATAAACATTGTCCTTCAACTTTTGTTTTTTTCCTTTTAACTTTTAATTGATAAAATAAATTACCTTTTTCCAATATAAAAAAAATTATGTTTTGAAATACAGTTGTATTTTAATTTAAATAGCTGCAACAATTTCACTTTTTACAAAATGGGATACTAATTTATGCAAATGAAAGTCCTTTATAGATTACTAAACCATCCATCAGAGAGCGCTGAATTTTGGCATACGGATAGTTTGAAGCACAAGGATGGTNGGGGGGGGTGGGTGTCGTTGACATTATGCATTCTACTACAAATTATTCCAAGCAGGATGAGCGAAAATGAATTTTCTGATAGGATTAACAGTATGTATTGTTGTAATTTAAATTGCAGACAGTTCTTTTTTTAGTTTATAGCTCCAAAATAAATTTCATTGAGGATGCACATTTTCAATAATTACTTGTATTTAGCTTGCAAGGTTCTTAGGTTAGTACAATTAAATCAAAGTGGATAATTTTCAAAGATTTTGCTGTTGATGTTATTGTTTGAATATTATTGGAATATTCATTGCTTATAAAGCTTTAGATTTTACTTATCTTAGTTTTTTTTATTTAAAAAGAAATTTTTGTTTTATATTGTACTATTTTTATATTTCTTACTCATTTTATTTTTATTGCTTTTATAATTATGATTTTATTAGAATAATTAGAGAATAAGTTAAACAAATTGATGACCATTGTAAAAATAAACATTTATTTCTATTAGTGAGAAGGAATATTTGCTCAACTATGTCACCTAAACAAAGCACTATTTGTCGACAGACACCTCAAGCTTGCCAAAAAAAAAGTTACCTGTCTTAAAAAAGCATTGAAACTAAGGGGGAAAAGGCTGGTAAACGACTGAGTACAAGCAACTTACATAGCCCTAAAATTTAAGAATGAAACAGCTGTAATTTTCTCCTCAATAAGAAAAGTGAAACTAACAGAATAAATTTCACCAAGTCAACGGTGACATCAGGTCAAATAAGCCAGTTGAAACATTTTTGGTGAATATACGCTCATATAATTCATGTTTTGAAATGAATTAATTTGATGATACACATATCCTGAGCAAGAATTACATACTAACAAAGTGCAAGGACAAATTTACCATTGTACCAAATCACTCCTATCATTGCCGAATGCAGATCATAAATTTCTACAAATTTATTTCATAGTAACACTAATGATTTTAAGTCTATCATTATTGTCAGTTAAATACTGGCACAAATTCGAACTAAGATCTACAATTAAATTATCTACCACACAATGAAAAATATCACATTTTAATAGTAGTAACTAATTTTTTTTTAAAAAAAACTGAGCTCTTACAAGAATTGTGATATTGGAAATTAAGAATGCAAAAATAGGAATCATGATATTGGACTTTTAAATAGCATAAATACAAAGACATGTCATCGCAATTTTGATCCTCTGAAGAGGGGATGGCTACCCTGCTTTGCTAACAAATTACTGACCGCAGCCAATGATCCTTGACTTTGGTGTTCAACTGCGATTATGGTCTTTATGATCAGTCCACTGCGAGACTAAAGGATTTTTAATAATTTTAAAATAATTATATAACAATACATAACAGGAAGAACACTTTTTTAAAATATGGAACTAATTTTTATAAAAAAAGTATTAAATAAATGGTATATCTGAACAACTTTAGCTATTCTCTTTTCCCTAATAAACGCATTGCATAATTTTATATGTTAACTATTTAGTTGTAAATTAGACACATTGACAATTAATATTGTATATTGATTGATAAGTTCTAAATCAGACACAACTAGGATTGAATGACTGTTTAAATATGCATGTAAAAAAAAAGTAAATGGAAGATTTCCACATCAATATTAAAACAGTTGCCAAGTTTTGACAACTTCCAGGCAGTTGAAGGCAAGAAATTGAAAAAAAAAAAAAAAATCAGAAGGAAGATTAACTCAAAGCCATCCCCATGTTAACCTCAACATATATTTTTTTTAAATTTATGCAAGTTTGAAATCCCTTTGGCGATACTAGTTGGCCTAAACAGATACCAATATAGAAACATCCCCTCATCTCGTGGACATATTATTTATCTCGTGGATACATTTTTTAATACAGAACACTCTTTTTATAATTTTCCGAGTTTAAAAATCTTTGGCACCAAGGGAATAGTAACTGGGCTGAACAGATATCACTAATATGGAGATATTGCCAAATTGCAGGTAAATAAAATGAAAAGATTATAGCCTAGATATAAGCAATATAAATATAAAAAATACAAGCGATTTTCTCGCCCACTTGTAATCACATTGCATTGATAAACAGATTAGTTAGTTAATAATATAAAACAGACACAGCCTGTATTGAATGTCTATTTTAAAATGTATGCAATGTAAATTCAACTTTTTTCTTTTTTTCTAAATATGCATAAATGAAATTAAAATATTATAGCCAAGCGATCAACATTACAGTTGGTTAATTAAATAATCGAATTTCGTTCTAGCACCGAAACAATAAAAATAACATAAGTTTCAAATGCTATAGAAACTTGTATTAATTTTCACTGGAGCAGCAGCTCAAAATTCCGGTGAAGCAAACAAGTATATATTTCATAACTTTGAAACATTACTTTATGTTTAATAAAATAAGATCTACTTATCATTCAAATATATTTCAATAAAAATATTTTACACGTAAATAAAACATCAAATCATAACTATAATCTAAAGCAGCAAAAGAAAATAGATGTATACTTTTCCCTACTGGTTACTAAATTTCATCTAAGTAAGTAGTGTTTTAAGTTTTTCTAATGCATGTGAAACAAATTGAACTCATCTCTCATATGATCTAACTAAATTCATGTTTGTTGTCATTGTATGTACAAGAAGAAGAGGAAATTTTAAGGACACGTTAATTCTATCACTAATCAAACCAATCAGTTCTCAACGAGTGTTGGAGACGGAATCTGGTTTTTCCCTTTCTTCGATCACAAAGGGAAAAATACGAGCTATTTTTTTCCCTCTGAAAATATCACATGACTGATAACGCAATTGTAAACTTATCCAACCATTTTATCCTGAACTTAGTAAGCAGATTTTAAAGAATCGTGGAAGTACTAAAATAAGCAGCTAAAAGCTTTGAAGAAATTGAACTTTTTTTTTTTTAAATTAAAAATAGTGAATCGGTGACTATATTCTTGTTCTATTTTATCTTTAATTTCTAAAAATCTTCTGTTAAGTTAGTAGATTATGTAGTTATTCTAGCCATTGATAACCATGAATAAAATTGCTTCCACATATATTATTATTTGTTGTATAAGAATTCTTTTTTACTATCTGCATATCTTTTTTATTTTCTGTAATTGCTTTCCCAGAGAGAATTATGAAATTTATCTCTTGAGTTTGATGGGTGGTAGACTGTATATATATATATACTTTTCTTTTTAAATATAGTAACTGCAAATTACTTTGGAATTGTAGTCACTACTTTAAGGAGACTAACTGTGCTAGAGAGCTTAATTTACAACCCATTCACAAAATGGTTTTAAATAAGAAATTTGCTTTATTAAATATAAGGGAATAAATAAATATTTACCCATGTTTACATGAGCAAGTTTATTTCATAAAATTTTTTTCGAATTTGTTCATTTAACCTTCAACTTTTTATGCATTTTTCGACAACAAATATTTAATTTGAGAAATATGAAATAATCAAATACTCACAATTTTTGAACTATGTAATGCTCCTTTATTTCCTCTAAAAAATTGAGAACAGCATAAATCGCTCATGGGCTGCAATAGTGGCAAAACTCAAGGACTATGATGGTTTTGGACTAAGAACTGGTGTAAAAATGAAAATACACATTCTTTTCGGCAGCAATACTAGCACAACTCATAATTCAACTTGAAGGATAATCTTCGTTTAAGCAAACTAAAGCATTTCTTATGCATTTTCCTTAGCAATGAAAACTTTAAATCCACTTATCTCAAGACATGATTTTTTGAGTTGTGCCTCTCTTACAGCCCATGGGAGAAATATGTTTCTTCCATAAGTTAAAACACCTTCCTTTGCTTTGAAATAACATCTATTTTTCACGAGTGTGCATTCGCATGTGAAAGTGTGACCTAAGTGATTAAATATCTATTTTTCGTAATGGCTAATTTAAATATTAGTTATATATGATTTTAACTACGTAATTTCTGTTAACAGTTTAGATGCAGCTATGAGATCACTTTCATTGCATTCATTGACAGACCCGCATAGATTTGTACCAATCAAATTTGAAAAATTAGTTGCGTTCAAAGCTTGTTTATTTATTTATTTATTTTTTTTTTTTGTATGGCACACCTCACTACACTACTTTTTTTTAAAAAAAGTAGCATACTACTCTATGAAAAAAAGTAACCACTAAAGTAATTTGATTACTTGTAGTGCGCTTTTTCCGACCACTGTCTATATGTATATATAAATTACAGTAGTGGATCAACTTGAGGGATATTTGTTTCAGTAGAAAGAAGAGAAGGGCTTGCCTTTCTTACATTAATTCAAGAGAATGGGAAGGAACTGGTTCACAATAAGGGTGCGTAGTTTTTTTTCTTGTTTTTAGGGAAACAAAGCTTGTTTCTTCCCCAGTTAGTAACATAGACATTGCAAACCAATGACCTTAATGATAAGAGTTTAGATTTTTAATCTAATTTTCCTTTGGTGGTTTTAAAAATTTTGATAACATTTTCTAATAAATTTGTAATAAATACTTTTAACTTCGTATTTATCTTTTGTTTTTCTAAGTTTTATTTGTTTCTTTATTGCGAAGATGTGAACATTTTTCATAAAAGCAAATAATTGATATTAAAAGTTAACTGAAGTAAAATATATTTTTGAGACCTATGCTTCGTTTTCCGTTCTCCAAAATCAAAGTAAAAAATCTCTCAAATTGTAACTGATCATGAGAACCAAGTAAATACTGCCAATTTTTTCCTCCCAATAGGCAAAAGAAAATTTTATTTATCTTGTTAATTTCATCGCCGGTGAAGCACTATCCTTTTAGTCATTGGCATGTCAATGACGTTCTTGTGTTTTTCTATTTATAGATTACCTAGTATGAACTTGATTTTGGGATCATTCACTAATTACATATTTTCATGTGGTTCCAGAGCAGTTAACAATCATAGAGCATCTCCTTTTTATTTAGCCAATTTAATGAAGATAAGAATTAATTGGGATTTTTAATTGTAGAATTTTTTTACCTTTGTGATCGCCTACCAATTTCAGAATTTTTTTTATACTTTTCATTGTACTTTATTATTATTTGTTTTACTAATTACTTTCATAATTGCATTAGTATTACTTTTAAAATTTTCAGTGCTCCTAAGTTATTTTATGAAATAATTTAATAATATTTAGAGATAAGATTTTAAAAAAAGTTTTAAGTGATTGACCTTTCACAATCTTAACATTTGAAAAAATGCAGTAAAAAAATCTTAAGTTATTCAGATTTGTCATTCCAAAGAACTTTAATTCGTCTCTAAACGATTTGATTTAAAAACATTTGAAATAAAAAGTCAATAAGTAATTAATTGATTTTGAAGTTTCATTTCCTCGCTGTTTTCCAAGTGAAAGATAGATTTATTTCTATGAAATTATTGGAAGAAAACCATGTTTAGGTATTTGTATTCCTAATAGAATATTTATTAAGTGCTGTCTAAAAAAGTTTTTATAATTAAATCAATATTGATTTGATTATTTTATTTCAGCTTATTGCGCGTAACAAAAGTTAAACATTGGAGGATTTAAAATTATATCTGAAGGACTATTTAATAGTAAAAAAAAGGTAAGCTAATGTGATATGTTAATAAAAAATTTTTTTAAAGTTCTGTTTAAAATATGTCTTACTTCTGCATTAAGTTGTCTGCTATTAAGTTAAAAATACTGATTGCAAAAATTGTTTTGTTAAGTTTTAATATTATTACTATTTTTTAATGATCTTTGGTTGAAACCTTGATTTGCTTTTGTATTTGTTTATCTTTAATTAAATTATAATCACTTTATGCAAAATTTTTTGCTAAGTTATTTTATTTCTTTTCTAATAATCATTTGTTAAAAGTTAGATTTTTTGCTGCATTTATTTATCTCTAAATCAGGGTTGGGGTTTTGGACGTCCTAAACTGGTTTTGGACAGGACACGTGGATTTTACTGTCTTAAACTGGGTAAAACTGTCCTAAACTGTCTTAAAGTGTCCAAAACCTTGAACTTTGGTAAAAGGTAAAAATTCTATAGGTGTAACCATTGTACACATAATAATTACATGTATCAATAAATATTTGATATTTTTTATACAATTTACTATAACTTATTAAAAGAAAATAATATAATATAATAGGAAAAGGTTTATAATTTTTGAAGCTCCACAATTCATTGAACAACAAAAGTGAATACCTAATCCTTTAAATATAAATATGCTTTTAATACTGATAAATAATATTTTTGCATAAGGATAAATATGGCAATATTAAAAAATAATAATTTTTCTTAAAAAAAATACTAAATTTGTTCAAAAATTAACCTTTTATTTTTCACAATATTTTTTTAAAAAAATGTTATAATTTCTGCATCACAGGATGATAAAAAAGACATCTATTTTAAAAAAAAATGTTTTTAAATATAAATATATTAGTTTAAATTGAAAATACAAAATAACTGAAAAATGTATTAACAGTTTTGAAGGGCATAACATCAGTTTCAGTTACTGACACTGGTGATGTATCACCACTATGCTAAAAGAATTGAACATGAATGAAATAAAAGTATTCTTGAATAGTACTATAGATGTATACCTGTTTATGACGAACCAAGCACTTAGTCCCTAATATTTTAACCTGTATGGCAAGGCCAAACTTCAGTTATGTACTATTGAATGAGAGGACCAATTGAACTTGATTACTGATTAATCTTCCTTTGCTTAAATTGAAGACTCAAACAATATTAATAAAACATTATTACTTTTAAAAACAAATATTCTCTAGTATATTTTAATTATCAATATGTTATTAGTTCTATATTTATTTTACCTCTTAAATATTGTTCAGATAAAATTGTGACATAATTTGAGTAAAAGGGTTTTGGACAGGACGGTTTAAACCGTGGATTAATCCATTCTGTCCTAAACCTTGCCAACCCTGCTCTAAGTAAATCACACTATTCAAAAGTTCCTTTAATAATTTTCAATTTTGCATCTAGAGTTTTCTTTGTAATAAAACTATATTCACTGTATGCAAAAATTGTTTTATCAAGTTTTACGGTTCATTTTTTAAAGATCTCTTGTTGAAAATTTGCTTTGCTTCTACACTTATCTGAAGCTAAATTGTAATTACTATATGTAAAATGTGATAGCTAAGTTACTTTCAATTTGCATTTTATAAAATACGTTCAAAATTACACATTAATTTTTTTTTAAATGAACCATACTAATTTTTATAATTTCAAATATTTCATTGTACAAATGAATTTAGAATATTTTGGTTTAATGAATGAATAACTGTAGAATTCAAGCTATTAACAATAGCATTTTATAGATACCGAGCAACAAAAAAAAAGAAGTTCTTCATGGAAAAAAGTTTCTGAGGAAACTAAAATGCATGGCACAATCTCAGCAGATTTTTAAATTTAAAATACATAATTCAGGTATAAAAATCTCATGACATTGCTTTTTAAAATTCTAGCAATAATTAAAAACAAAAATGCATTAACTTACTTTAATCATACATTATTTACCATTTAATATACATTATATTACCACCTTTAATTATTATTTTATAAGGTTTTTTGGGGGAGATTTATCATTATTATTTCACATTCAACTCAACAAGAAAGTAAAAAGTAATAGTATAGTATCTGTCACAGATTAAGAGAAACAAAACTACAGGAAGCTAACTATTCTACAACTTTATTATCTTCATTATTACATATTAATAATCAACAAGTATAAAATTTAAACAGTACAAATAACAATGATGCTAAGTGTTTGAAGAAGAGCCAGAGATCTACATTTCAATTTGCCTCTCACATTAAATATATAAAAACAACATAAATTATGCAATAGAAATATGACTAGAACTAAAAATGGATAACTCAAAATTAACGTATTGTAAAGAGAAAAAAAAAGTATTGAATAGATGACGAAAAACATGGCACATAAATTGTGAATTTTGAGAAACGTTTTTATTAGTTATAATTAGTAAGTCAAATAAAAATTGCTGTATATGAAGATAACTATCTAGGTAAATATCTTGATGAATATTCAAAAACATACGACATAATTCTGTTAAAAACATAGAAAACATTTTTGCTTTTAAATTTAATAAATTGATTTAATGCACAGTTTATAAATTATCACAATACTTCAGTCATACATGCTAAATTAATTACGTAATATTCATCAAAAAAATTTTAAATTTAAGCTATTCAATAAACGTGGTGGTTAATGACCACAGACATTGTTCGAATAAAACTAACAAAATTAACTGATGCTGTTTTCACTTCATCTGGATTGGTCTATTTCAGGGGGGGGGCAACTTGCGGCTCTTTGACGAATTATTTGTGGCACTCGATAAATGTACCCTAATTCCCTTTTTATTTTTGTGCTGTATTATATTTTTTTAAATTATTATTGTTCCGTATGTGTTTCAAAATGTCTCTTAAATTACTGACAACAAATATGAAAGACTAAGTGCAACGTTGTGACAAATTTCATTTCCGTCCAAGTTAAAAATTATATGACTCATCGAAAACTGCGCGAACGAACATAAACAGTGACTTAAAATATAAATCGCCGTCGATTACTGAATTTTGGAAATTTGTATCAGAATTGAAGTATCCTGAATTAAAAAAAAACGCTGCTTGTCGAATTATTTCAATATTCGGAACAAATGTGAATCATTTTATTTCGCTTTAAAATGCGTGAAATCCAAACACCGATCAGTATTAACTAACCAGCCTCTCAAAGAATTACTGAGAAGTGCTGTCACCAAATTTTAAGGAATTATCAAGAGAAGTAAAATAAATGTGTTTAATTTTTAATATTTAAATTCAATACACATAATTTATACTTTTATTTATGTTTTCAATAAATATAATTTCTGTAAAAAAAAATTTTAATGCCTTTTTTGCATACTTTTTATATACGCTCACAAAAAATTTCAACTTTTGAAAAATGGCTCAACTGTTAAGGAGCTTGGCCACCCCTGGTTTATTTAATGGTTGATGCAAATACATTATACCAATAAAGCTTCTCATTCACTTTATTTCTTTCAGAGAGAAAACTTAAATTGAGAACTGATTGGTGCAGTGTAATTGCATCAACTACTCCAGACACAGTGAAAATAAACTCTTTAAGATGGCTTAACATTAACACCTTTAAGTAAGGGCTCATTTATTGTAATTTTATAAGTAAAAAATTGTGTCAAATACTGTTTACCATTTAAGTGTTATCATGAACAAAAGTTTTTGTCATATACTTAAGTATAAATTCTAAAAACAAGATTCAGTAATTTTTTCCTCCTCATTTCTGTGATTAGCTGGGGAACAAGTACAAAGCATGCAATACTTAATCAAGATTATTTGCGAATAAACTGCTTATTATCTAGCATGGAAAAAAATATAAATATTCTATTCATCATTGTTACTAAATTAAAATAATATTATAATAGTATATAACATCAGTAACACTAAATATACAACAAAGTGAGTAACAAAAAAGGTATTTGTGAGGATTCTCTGGCTCGTGTAAGTCAATAAAGTTCTCAGTATAACGTGAAAGTGCAGTATCAAATTTTAAAGTGCAAAATATATATCATCTCTGTGTCTTCAGCAAAATCTTACGACCTTCCTTGTTTCTTCATATCGACTTTAAACTACATATATTTGGACCTTTTTTTAGAAGAAGATTTTTTAGCACTTAGAGAGAATTCAAGTAATGTAAAACGTAATGCAAAACGAGATCATAACAGTACTTGTACTCCGTCTATGGGGGAGAAAAGAACAATGAAAAGTATAAGAATAACATATATAGGTCTATGGTAAGTTTTTATGAATAACATATATAGGTCTACACAATTGGAGGTCTATGATTTTTATGTTGATTTTAACCATATCTATAGTTCTTATTTGGAATATGTGAACAGTTATACATTTGTGACTACTATATATTATTTGAAAGAAATGTGTCTGTGTGATAATTCTATACAGCCAGTGCTGGATTACCCATTAGGCCATGGCCTGGGGCCCCCAATGATTGGGGGGCCCCTTTAAATGGATTTTTTGAAAATAAATTTTAAAAAATTAAGAAGAACAATGATTTAAAAAAAAAATCAATTTCAAATATATATTAATAAAATACGATAATTTTTTTTATTTAATGTTAATCATATTTATTTATTGAACTTATTTATTAATTGTCCTATGGAGCGCTCGTTTTCAAAAATGAAACGAATCAAGAGTGAGCAAAGAAGCGTCACGTTTCAAAAACGATGAGACCTGCTAAGTTTGATGTTTATCGAATCAGATGTTCTCCGTGAAATTAATTTTGATAACATTATAGATGAGTTTATTGATCGCAAGAGCAGAAAAAAAGATTTTTGAATACCAATTTTATAGTAGCGTTGAGTTTGTAAAGTGTTAATTAATTTCAAATTTTTTCAATTTGTTATGATTATTTTTTAGTTTTAATTTAAGAAAATAAAGTAAAATTTAATTTTATATTTTTATTTTAAATATGCTTTCTTAAATGAAAAGATATATAAATACTTTTATATTTGAATAAATAAAAAATATACGAGGAAAAATATTTAATCTGAGGGCCCCGAAAATTTGAATGGCCTCAGGCCCCGCACGCGCTTAATCCGGCACTGTATACAGCCAGATCTCTAAACGTTAAAGTGCTATCTTAAAGGAAATTCTTACTAGCATTGATGTAATTGGATTACATAGTTGCTAACTTTTGGGGTTTTCTTTTTTCTCAAAGATATTTTATTTTTTAATTTAGAATGTTACAAAATTTATACATTGATACTTTATACTTGATTAAGTCGAATTTAAATGGATATTGATCACCTGTTTATCTAACTAATTAAGAAATGTAAAAGAATTATCTGATAATTGATGGACTTTTAGGTGCTGACAAAATTTATGAAAAGTTAATATATACTAAATGAAAAAAACATTTCTTAAGAAGTGCAGATGCTGGCTGCTAGGAAATTAAATTATCAATGTATTTTTCCCCCTCATCAACACTTTTTAAAACTTGTAAGAGTATCCTGTATATGCTATTTTTAATTCTGGAAAAAATATAGTTTTTGTAGTCCTATATGTTGAATGTTACATAAGCTGCAGCCAATGTTACATAGGTATTTGATTACAATTAATCAAAAGAGTTTTCGCAATTGCTGATTTTTTGTATTAACAGATATACGGATGTTGTGTAAAGTAGTTTTAATCTTTATAGAGATAGTGAGACAGAAACTGTTTCACTTATTTTTGACAATTATATAAACCTTAAATTTCGTAATTATTTTTAAACTAACCACTTGAAACTGTGAAAAATTCTAAAGATCAAGTAAATCGCTTCATTTGAATAGAATGAACACAATTCTTACATATTTCTAATCTAAATTCTATTTAAGGGAAAATACTTAAACAGAATTTCGTTTCAAATTTTCATGCCCCGCAACAGAGTTAGAATATTTTGAGTAAAATTGAACATTTAATAGAAAACGGATTATTTTTTCTTAATTGTGCATTTTCTATAGTGAACGCAAAAACTATTATTTCAACATTTAAAAAAGGAATAGTGAGACTTATCTTAAAAGGTTCACGGTTACAAAAATTTATTTTCTTCATAATAATAATTATGTTTTGGTTATGTTATTAAAGTATAAGTGACGTTTAGGATTGATTCATGCAATTAAAGGAATAAGAATAATGAAAAAAGATGATTTTTTTTTAAACGTAATAAGTTACCATATTTTCCACAAGCTGTGGTCTGTGCCTACGAACTGTCTTAACAGCTTGAAACACATCCACTTCTCCATGTTGAATCACTTGCTCGATGGCTACACAGGCAGCGCAATATACACCACATCGGCTTTTGCCATTTCTAAATAGAAAACGAAACAAAGAGTTAGGAGAGATTTTCTGTCCAATGTTTGAATTGTTTTATACTTTTCGCATGAACATATAGATTTTTGTTATAAACACTGCATACCTGAATTTATTTGCGCATTAACAAGAGTGTTTTATAATCACTGCCTTTAATATACATGCCAAAAGTTGAAGTCAGAAATGAAGTTTTAAAAAAAGATACACTATGTGGGTCGCAAATTTGTAGTTAAAAGGGAGAAAAACAAAAACGTATTAAAAAATATAACAAAGCTATGATGCTGGAAAGGTGACTGAAAACATTAAAATTTGATTGCTAGAGAAAACTGAGAGAAGTGAAAGGGAACTGGTTTCGATCTTTTTAATCCCGCTTTTCTTAATAGTTTTACAGAGTTTGACAACGAATTTTGTTTTTCCCTTCCTTAACTATTCATTTCCAATACCTGATCTGGTTTTTTTGACAAGGATTTTTAAACTATTCAACAAAAAACGGTTATTACAAAACATCTATATTACTTCTGTTGCATATCTGCCAGTTTAAGACTTTAAAAAAAATATGACTTTTGAAGGGGCTCCATCCCCTCGACTGTCCCTGTCGGTTAGAGAGAAATTTTATAGTTATGGATCATGTTTTAATATATTCTTTTTCCATAAACACACACTTTGCTGCGTAACGTTTATTTTTTTTACTTTTAACTTATTACAATTGTACTTGGTTCCAAGAGGAAAACTAATTACTAGACTTTTCTTATGAGTCGGAGGGGAAAAAAAGGTATACACTACTTCTACACTGCACCAATAACATTGAAAATAGAAATGAAAATAGTATTTAGATAGAATAAGATTTTTTTCAAGCAAATAACATCAACTCATTTACGCCTGTGTAATAGACAGGAGTAGTCATAATGTCTCAAGGAGACTACCATTTTGAGTGGTCCCAAGATAATGATCAAACTCTTTTGTGCTATCATAATTGAAGGAGTATTGTTTTGAATCGTAATTATACAATTCAAATGGTGCACTTTTACATATTTAGATAATGTCACCATAAATGTTTCAAGGAAATTCCATAGGAAGATACTTACGTAGATAGAACAATAACTGGTCCATAAGCTGACCTCTGCCGCCATCTTTCCACCATGTTCATAAGTTCGACCAAGGCATTGGTAGAGGTAGGCACCTTGTGACCCAAAGGCCAACAAGTTATTTGGAAGATTTGAGTGGTTTTGGGTTCTGCTTTTACTCCAGCCATTAATTCTGTGAGAGAAACAACCTACGAAAAAAATTGCCTAAAATGTAACCCTCTATGGTCATATTAAAACAGTTGTCATACCAGTCGAAATCACTTTTTGTTCGGCAAACAACAAAATGCAGGATAACGAAATGAAATATAATTACTTTTTAAGAATGAAAAACAATGTTACGCTTAAACACATAAAAAAAATTATTTTGAATTTTATGTATCTCCTAAGTCTACCGACTTAAGCGAACAGCACTGTACAGTACTTATGACTCTTTACCGTGGTGACTGAAAGTAGACTGAACGATTGGAACGGTAAAATGCTTCGATGGTTGAAAGCCAATATAAACTAGAACAGTAAAAAAGCTTTGATAGTTGAGAGCAGACACATGACTGGAAAGTTAAAAAAAAAAGCTTTGATAGCTCCTTAGAGTATAATTGCGTCTACAAAGGGTTAAGAATCCATAAAATATCTTGAAATTAGATTGCTACATTAAAAGTCAAAGCAAAATCCAGGGGATGGGGAGGCGTTTTTGCTGACGAGGCGGTAAGGGATGTCCAAAATTGCCAATGATATGTTCATGTAATATTTGAACAACCCCATGACCATAAGCAGGTGAAATTTAAACAGTGGTGAAAGAATAAGATTGATGAAACAAATTGTCTTTACTAACTTTCATCTTTAAAAAAAATTATAAATTCATGAAAATTTATCTAAGTGTTAACACTGACTAACTTAATTTATAAAATTAAAGTGTAATTAAGATATTTGTAATTTCAAACCAGCCTCACGAAACATAGGGCACCGCTTTTTGAATTTTTTTCAGTCGTGACCACTTTGAATACTAATATACGAAGTTCTTAGGAAGAAAACTAGTTTTAATCATGCTTATACTTTTATGTTACGTGGAGAGAGGCAGGGCCTTGGATCCTCCTACAATCTATTAAAATTTTTTGTTCGTTTCTGCAACGACCGTTTATACATTTTCTCTCCGATGTATGTGTAATATAATTGGTGGACACATGAATATTTTGTGTATAACCTGATATCTTTAAACTATAATTCATTTATATCGATTTAGTGGTTAGATATCCGACGAATTATGACAATTCTCTTAAATTGTATTTCCTTGGAAATTGTATATTTTCTCATTTTTACCTCTTTTGTTTTTGCAACGAGCATATTGTATATTTTTATATCCGAGATCCTTTCGACCTGCAGATTACAGATCTACTTAAGTTCATCAAAATAGTTGGTTACTTTGCAGTGCGCCTCCGCTTATGCGTATTAGATCTTCAGGAAGTGTGCTAAACAGTGTATCATGTCTTCTCTAAGTAGAATCGTCTTAGAGTGGTAGATCTTGGCTTTTGAAAACAAGCCATATTTTACAGCATTGTTTATTGATGTCTTGTTATATCGTTCACTCTTATTTACTATTTTCATTAAAATAATCAACGTTATCAGTAATCTTTTGCATCCCGCAGTGAACTGATCGTTAAGACACGGTTCCCAGCAGATCAACGAAGTCAAGCATCATTGGCTGCGGTAGTGTGCGGGTGGGCGACCACTTGGATCAGTCTGCGTAGGGTCCGAGGGCGTGCGGTATTGGTCCTTGTTAAACTGTTCTACCGTAAAGTGCTCGACTTCGCGTGCAAGTCATTGGGCTACCGAAGCGGGGGTGCCATACCCTCTGTAGAGGATCAAAATTGTGATGACTTGTCTTCAGATCATCCTCAAGGATGTTTCTCAGACAGTCGCCAATAGCCCATTGTACAGCCCTAGTACGACGTAAGTTAACTACAACAACACTAATCTTTTGCCTAAGTTGCGTTCGTTTTGCTCTTTAAATCAAATAATTTTGTTTAATGAAAATAATTTTATGTTGGAGTTTGGAATGTTAGCTTACCCTTTTTAATATTTTAAAAATCCAAGTTTTGATGTTGGGATAGTGACTAGAGGAAACTAGCTCTACAGTGAATACGGGACCGTATTTCTTCTTTTTTTCTCGTTCTTTCGGCCAAAACGGTGGATATGTCTGAAAAAGAAAAAACATTTGTACATTTTTTTAATCTGTTTTATTTGCATTCTCAATGAATACTGAATTCAAATAGCAAAATTTAATTGATAATTAAGAAATTTTAGAAAATTGGTTATTTTCTAAAGAAATAACGGTAATAAGGATAAGAAACCAATAATATAAGTGGACGCCATACCACGGAGGAAGCGTCGCAAATTCACTCGAACCTCTAATTACTAATTACAACAACAAAGAAAATGTGAGTTCAGGAAAACCCAGAGTAAGGCACGAAGTTTCCATTGGTGGAAAAAAAATTCAAAATATCAAAATGCAAACAAATTATTGGTAGAGAACTTCTCCATTGCTTAATCCTAAGCTATCGTCTCATAATTTGATTTGATTTTAATTCATAATTTCTAATTATGAATTAATCATAATTTATTTTAATAATTATTCATAATTTATTTTAATAATTGTTCATAATTTATTATTAATAATTATTCAGAATTTATTATTAATAATTATTCATAATTTTTTTTTAAAATTTTCAGCATTTGAAACGTTATGGCTTACTCCAGGTTAGTCTAAACTCACTTTTCACAGAGATCTGTCCAGACATTTTGTAAAAGGTCCGTTTTTCTTGAAATCGTGAAAAAATTACTCACATTTTTTCAACCAGGGTCCGCTTTTATGAATTTGTGCAAATAGGGTCCGGTTATTGCAAAAAACTTTTTCAAGGAGTTCTTAAATTGTAAATAGATACAAGATTATGCTCGGCATTGTAAAATTATAATTAAAAAAAATTAAGCTTTCAAAACAGCATTTTGTGTTCAAAATAAACAGCAGTTGCTGCTTTTCTTAATTAGAGATGCTACATACAAATATTTGGTATTTAGCCTATACTGCTGAACGTAGAATATTCATTTCGGTCGAATAATGGAAGAATCGTCTACCGAAGACAAAACTTAATTTGTTTACATCCATCTTTCTTGTTATCTGCTTTGGGAAGGGTTTATTCGATTAACAAAACAGTAATGAAGATAACAAATTTGTGAAGGGTCCGATTAAAAGAAAAATCATTTTGTGAAGGGTCCGTTTTTAAGTTAAAATATTTTGTGAAGGGTCAGGTTTTATGAAGAGATATTTTGTGAAGAGTCCGTTAACGGACAAAATTTCTTCTAAACAGACCCCTGTTTCTAATATGCTAATACTTCATACTAAAAAAAAAAAAATATTCCAAGATGAAAGAAAATTTGTGACGGAAAGTTTCTCCTCGGGTATGGCATCCACTTAATCTTAATTTACATTTAAAAAAATATAAGAAAACTGAAGTCATGAACTGAAATTCAAGTGGACTAAAAATAAAACCACACTCGGTTCGCACCGACCACAGTGCTGACGTAAAATGTCTTCAGCGGTTGACGGATCATGAATTAGAGTCCCCTTGACGTTAATCTAAGCGTGGGAGGTTTTCATGGTTTTCCTCTCCATGCGGGTTAGTTCCATCGAAAAGTCCTCCACGAAGGCAAATTTCCCCCCATACTTGATCCAGGAGGTCCCTTGTCTTTTGTATTGGGTTCAAAATTTACAAGGCAACGGAGTTTATCATTAGTAGTAAACCCTAAAAAAATGGGTCCTGTACAACGACGGTTATAAAATAAAATAAAATGCTGTAAAACCTTTAAGAAAAACTGATGTTTTATTATCTTTTGTAGGGATAGTTCAAACGAGAGTCGAAAACTTGACTGATTCAATACGCCATTTGAAGTAGAGAGTGCTAAAAGTGAAGCAAGAAGCACTGCGGCTAGTAATCCATTATTGTTATTACTAGTTAATAACAAGAATAAAGGTGTTCCAAGCCACAGGCTGAACTACATCACCTGACTATTATCATTCATTCCCTTTCTGTAATATTGCGGTTGCTAATGGTAACCAGTTGTTTACACTAATATATAGTGTAATGAATCGTACTCCTAATGTTTGCTATTAATATTTCATTCATAAATTTTCAATTGTCAGGTAAATGAAGCGGCATCAGCTTAAGCATCTCTGTAATAATTTTTAAAAATATTTATAAAATAAAATTAATGACTGCTAATAATACTCTTGAGTATTTAAACACTAAATTGGAAGAAGCTAGAAGAATATTTAAACACTAAATTGGAAGAAGCTAGAACCCCAGTCTTTTAAAGTGTTGAATAAGAAAAGAAGTGAAAGGAAAACTATTTAAGTATGAGAAACAAAAGTAAAATTGAAATAAGAGTGAAATGGTAAACATCGGAAGCAAAAATAAAATTTAAATAGGAATGAAATGGAAAGATCTATTAGTATAAGAAGTAGCAAAGGAATGGAAACTCTATAAGTACCAGAAGTAGGATTAAAATGGAAATTGGAATGAGATGGAAATAAGAGTAAAATAAATAAACACTCCAAGTATCGGAAACAAGAGTGAAATTGAAAGCTCCATATGTACAGTACCAGAAGTAAGACAGAGATGCCAACTTGCTCCTGACAGCAAATATATATTTTAAAGTGGTAGTTTATCAATTGTGATTATCGGTTTAATAAATTCAATTTAGTAGATTTTTATCCACCACTATTTCTAAATAATTCGTAGGCTTATATTATTCAATACTTTATAATACTTATGCCATTGCTATACTTTTCAAAAAGGAAGCAAAAATAGTCAAATATTTGCAAAATTTACTTTGCAGTTATTTACTCTGTTTTTAATTATTTGGGCGTGTCCGGAGCAGTTGGCATGTCTAGTAAGAAAGAAATGGAAAACTGTGAGTACTAGAAGTAGGAGTAATCTGAACTTTTTTATTGGCAGAAGTGAAAGGAAAACTCTTCTCGTACTTAAGTAGAAGTAGGATTAAAAGGGGTTAAATGGTACCAGTAAACTTTACCATTAGTGGGAGTAAAACGACAAACTACTAGAAGTAGAAGCAAAACGGAAATGGGAGTGAAATAAAAAATTCTATAAATACCACAAATGCGATATTTTTGCTTTACTGCACGATTTCCTCTTTGAGATGCACCGTGTTTTCGTTTTTTATCCATTTTCTTTCTTTCAAATGTAAACGTGGAAATATTTCTTGAAAATAAAAAATATTAATACTCACATGTGAAGGTGGTGGACTGCATAGAACAACCACAGTGTTACAATCATGATCATAGACTAATGACCAGAAATCTTGAACTGTGCGCTGTAGTGGCCATTCAGTGTTGATGTACTCCTTTGATCTCGTGTAACCCTACAACGACATAAACTCGTTAGCCCATTAGTCTCCTCTTTTAACCGTTTTTCTATCAAACCTTTTGAAAAAAATATTTTACATCCTATAAATAAACGTAAACGAAACGTAATTAGTTTTAACCTTTACCAATCATCTTATGTGTATTTATGAAACTTAGCCCATTCCTTGTCGAAGGGGCAAAAAATTATGATGTGAAAAGTGCCTTTGGGAAAAAGGTGGCCAGATACATGTTCTTAGATTAAGTGACTATTTTGCAGTGTCAGTTACTGCTCTAGATTTTTAGAAAATTTAAAATAATATGATTTCAGATGAAAATAGAACTATATTATAGAGTTTCCCTAACCGATCTACCAAACGCTTCCTAGCTTGGAGGCAGCGAGTTCGAATCCTTCCTGGATCCATCTTAGTGGTGATCCTCTCTAATTTAAGTTATATGTTCTTTAATTTGACAAGAGCTTATAAACCTGCAATGTGTTGCGCAGTATACATACTTCCTATCTTATTACAATAATAGGAATAACCTGAACACTTTTATTCTGATATTTAAAGTGTTGGTAAATTTTATGACTTAAGATTTTATTATTAATTTGATAAATTTAATTTCGAATGATTTTCTCTACCACTACGCAACTTCGATAAATAAATAAATCAATGAATAAAATCGATTAACCAATTCACAAAGTTTCGCAGTAGCATACTGAAGTTTCTAATGTTCTTATGTGTCTGACTTCGTAATTTAAAATATCGTCTGCATTTATTAATTAACATATTTTAGGTTACCTCTTCGAGCCATTAAGATCAATTCCTAGAACGTGAAAATCCGATCATTAGACCAAAAGTTATTCAGGGTGGTCCGCTTTTTTTGGAACAATGTACATTTCTCTCACCATAAGAAGACGATTAAAATTAAAATCATAACTCAAGTCTATAAGTAGAAAGAGAGATGCAAAGCTGCTTTAACCCCTTGGGGACGGGTGATTCAGAAAAGCATACGTACAAAATCAGAATCAAGCTGTAATTAAATAAAAAACGGTAACTTAATGCAGTCATTACTAATGTGACAGACTTACTTTGCTTTTACTATAATTATTGTTAGTTTAATCATATATATAATCAATGTTAATTCAAAGTATAACTAAATAGTTTTATTTTGAACAAAGTAATGGTGAATTAAATAAATCAAACAATTATAACTCCGCCCACAAATAAACTG